CAGTTTGATATCATTTCCATGAATCATACAACACATGTCAGAGAAACCAAGCAAGCACCTTTTCAATAAAGGCAAGCAGCATTGTGATTAACAGCTTCAAAACTATTGAAGGCCACTGGTTTGTTGCTTTCACTAACTACCCAGAGTAAAAATTCCTGAATCCATCGCCACAGAGTCAGTGATGCCGCTGCCAACATAAACAGATATAATCTAATAGTACAGTGAAAAAATATTTGGAATGAAACCTAGTATGCAGATTTTGGGCTCCTTGAGTGGGCATAGGCACCAGATCAAGGTGATACTTAGCTACACAAATAGATGAGGAGTGGGTACAGAGAAGATTCACCAAGATGTTGCCTGGGATGCAACGTCTCAGTTATAAGGAGAGACTGAATAGGCGGGGTTTGTTTTGCCTGGAGCAGAGTAGACTGAGGGGGATGTGACATATACAGAATTTGAGAGGCATAGACAGGGTATATTGTGAGAATCTTCTCCCAATGGTTGACATGCCAAAGACCACAGGTGAGGTTTAAGTAATCTAGAAGCAACCTATACAAACGTCTTTTCATCCAGAGGGTGGAAGAGGAGGCAGGTAACTTTCAACATTTACAATGCACCTAGACCGACCATTTAAAATGCCAGGACATAACAGGCTATAGTTCAGGTAAATGGGATTAGTACAGATTGGAGTTTGTTGGTTGACATTGACATGGTGGTTGAAGGGCCTGTTTCTATGCTGTGTAACTATGAAACTCCATGGTTGATGCATGCTAACAGCTGATTCCCACCAAAATCAGCAGGATTGCTGCTCAAAGTGGCAAGGATGGGAGGCTATAAAGTCATGTTTGTTGACAACTGTTTTTTGGTGACCTCTGCTGGAAGGATGCAGATATACAAGCTCATTGACAGCTCAGTTACAAAGTTATTTCAGAGAACCTACCATCATTCACTACCTGGTTTCTGCTGAAAGAATGGCCAATTAGTGAGATATTTGGCAGGGGCCTGTAAAATAGCATCCCCGCTGCAATCGAGTCTTCATGAAAGATGGGGAGTAAGAAAGCAAACTAGAGATTCAAGCAAAGACAACAGGCCCTGACAACATGCTGGCATTGGTACTAAAGACTTGTGTTCCAGAACTTGCCGCTCCCCTTGCCAAGCTGTTCCAGTACAGTTACAACACTGGTATCTACCCGACAATATGGAAAATTGCCCAAGTATGTCCTGTATACAAAAAAGCAGGACAAATCCATTTCAACCAATTACCACCTCAGTCTACTCTCAATCATCAGTAAAGTGAAGGAAGGTGTCATCAACTGTGCTATCAAGCAGCACTTGCTCAGCGATGTCCAGTTTGGGTTCTGCCAGGGCTACTCAGCTCCTGACCTCATTGCAGCCTTGCTCCAAACATGGACAAGAGCTGAATTCCAGAGTTGAGACGAGATCAACAGTCCTTGACATCAAGGCTGCATTCGACAAAGCATGGCATCAAGGAACCCTAGCAAAACTGGAAATCAATGGGTATCAGGGGGCAAATTCTCTGGTGGTTGGAGTGACATCTGATACGTAGAAAGACGGTTGTGGTTGTTGGAGGTCAGTCATCTCGGCTCCAGGACATCTCTGCAGGAGTTCCTCAGGAGAGTGTCCTAGGCCCAACCATCTTCAGCTGCTTCATCAATGACCTGCTCTTGTTTATAAGGACAGAAGTCGGGATGTTCACCGATGATTGCACAATGTTCAGCACCATTCACGACTCCTCTGATACTTAAGCAGTCCATGTTCAAATGCAACAAGATCTGGACACTATCCAGGCTTGGGATGACAAGTGGCAAGTAACATTCGTGTCACACAAATGCCAGGCTATGACCATCATTAATAAGAGACAATCTAACCACTGCCCCTTGACATTCAACAGTGGTGCCATCACCGAATCCCCCGCTATCAACATTCTGGGGTTACTACTGACCAGAAACTCAACTGGACTCACCAGAGGCTACAACAGCAGGTCAGAAGCTAGGAATACTGCAGTGAGTAAATCACCTCCTGACTCCTCAAAGCCTGTCCACCATCTACAAGGCAACAAATCAGGAGTGCGATGGAATACTCCCCACTTGCCTGGATGGATGCAGCCCCAACAATACAAGCTTGACATCATCCAGGAAAAAGCAGCCTGCTCGATTGGCACTACACCCACTAGTATAGACTCCGCAACCACCCCCCACTCCACCCATACACACTACCGCCACCACCACCACTGACGCTCAATAGCATCAGTGTGTACTATCTACAAGATTCTCAGAAAGCACTTTCCAAACCTATAGCCACTTTCGTCTAGAAGGACAAAGGCAGCAGATATATAGGAATACCACCACCTTCAAGGTTCCCTCCAAGCCACTCACCATCCTGACTTGGAAATATATCAGCGTTCCTTCACTGTCACTGGGTCAAAATCCTGGAATACCCTCCCTAATGGCATTGTGGGTCAACCCAGAGCAGGTGGACTGTAGTGGTTCAAGAAGGCAGCTCACCACCACCTTCTCAAGGGCAACCAGGGACAGGCAATAAGTGCTGAGCAGCCAGTGACGCCCACATCCCACAATGAATTTTAAAAAAGTCAAGTAATTCTTTTTTCTAAAAAAAAGGAAAAAAAAGTTAGTGTGATATCTGAATAAGCCTGTTAATTTAGTAAACCTGGGGCAACTCCACTTAAAAACATAACTTTTTGAAACTGGTGATCACCTAAATGCTTTGATACAGATGGAAATTGAGTAAGCCAAGGGAGAATTTGACTTACCCATTCCACTAAGGGAGACTGAGATATTCTGTTTGCAGAAAGTCTGACTACAATAAAACTACCTATTTCCATTCTTGTTACCCAGTGTGGAAACAGGCCCTTCGACCCTCACAGAATCTCACCCAGAACCATTTCCCAAACCGACCTAATCCACACATCCCTGGGCACTATGGGCAATTTAGCATGGCCAATCCACCTAGTCTGTACATCTCTGGTCTGTGGGAGGAAACCGGAGCACCCGGAGGAAACCCATGCAGACACGGGGAGAATGTGCAAACTCCACCCAGGCAGTTGCCCAAGGGGGAATTGAACCACTGAGCCACCATGCCGCTTCTATTACCTATTTAAACCCTTCATTGACAGTAACATCTATACTTGGCTCACATCAACCAAAATTACACTGACTAACAGAATCAGGAAACTGACAGTTTTGGGATTGTGCAAATCAATGACTAAGACCCTTTGATAAACAAAAGGATTTTTTAAAAATTTTACATATAAATTTTATGGGGACGTTGATAGAGTAGACAAATAAATTTAGCAGTTACCAACTGGGAATAGGCTTCTCCTGAATTGCCAAGTGGTGAGAAAACAGAACTTGGTATCATAAGTAGATGAGGGGGGCATTATCCTATTCTATACCCCTTATGCTTGTGCAACGTCCAAGACAGAATTTGTTCCTTGCTTCATACTCATTCTTTTGAGCAACCTACCCAGCTGTGGAAGTCGCAGGTGACTGTGACTCGCAAATAGTGATTATTCTCAGTGGTACATTTATTCTCTTTAAATCTATTTAATCTGAGTTTTTAATAAATTCTTCTACTGAAGGATTAGAAATCCATTAACGTCTACATGAACCAAAGTAAATTAAGTTGCAAGTACTATTAAACTTCATTTTAAGTATAGAGAAGTTAGCAGTTAGTTACGGGAGAGAAGGGCAACAAAGCAGTGCAGAAACTAGAATTCTGAAATGTATGATATCATTCCCAACATGCTAAGTGGATTTGACTTCCCAGCTCAAAATCACAAAACAACATTGTCACTTGGAGAGTGACATTCTCCAGCCTTCGTGTAAGAAACATTGCAAGCAAACGCCCACCTAGATCCATGGGCAGTAACTGGACACTTGAACGGTTTTACTGCCCAAATCAACAGGTTCTACAGATTGTCACTCGCCAGTTAACCATTGCTCAAGAGCCAGCTGTGCTCTTCCAAAGGAAGCCCAGTCCCTGCTTGAGTCCCGTATTACCTCCACTCGGATGCTGCTTGCTGTGTTTCCTCCAAGTAACTGGTGAAGTTGGTGGTGATTGGTGAGGAGATATAACTGGGGATGTAGAATCCTAAGACAGAGGAAGAGGAATGAGGACGAAATAGAAAAATCATCAGAGGGGTCACATACAAAAGAAAACTTTGCAGATATTAAGCAGCGCTGATTTGTTTTTTTTAAAATCATGGTCGAAACTGTTTTATACAACAGAAATTTTAATTACCATGGCATTAAAAATCTGGGCACCTGTTCACAAAACAATGCAAGCTTAACTTTACATGCCAATTCCAACCTTTTGTGCAAAGGAAAAGGACTAAACAGACTGAATTTGAATCAAGTTGAAAAATGAGACATGCTACTGAAGCTTTTAATTCTGTGATCATCATAAATGCAAGAAAACAAAATTTCAAATTATTTTAACAACTTATACTCAGAGTAAAAGGATACTGAATGGTTGGCAAGTCATGACTTCAACAGTCAAGATCTGTACTATTATGAAGCAAATTTTCTAGATTCACAGTACCTGGCGTTCTGCTGCTGCTACACGCTGCCCTATCACATCATGAGGTACACTTGTGGAGACCTTTTTGACTTGCGTCCTGCTGGGAGGTGGGGGGATGACGCTGGTGTATGTACTCTGGCTGTCAGGATCAGAATACATAGATGCGTGCCTCAGCTGCAACTTCTTCTCAGAAACGATAGATCTAGGTAAAGGATTCTTCACTGTTGGAGAAAAGAAATGATTAAATGGAAGATAACACTGAGGATGGAAAAACGCTATTATGAATTTTATTTGCAACAGCTAAGCTTAACATTTTAAAAAGTTGTATCTACTGCTGTCATTACTTAGCCAACATACTGTAGACTATACAATACAGGTATTTTCTAATCAACATGTTCAGACATGTTATTACACACCTTTCGAGCAGGTGGGGCTTGAAGTGGATCTCCTGGGTTAGAGGTAGGGACACTACCACCAGAGTCTTGCTACACAAATTATATAGTTAGCCCCCAAATTTAGCAATGAACTACTAAAATTGCCTATTATCCCTACTCCTTTCAATTTATTTTCCCTTTCTTTACTCCTGTACAACTATGTCCTGAGTGATTTAGCCAAAAGTCATCACTGCTACGCCAAACTGGCAGATGATGCAATAGTCAAAAAAACAGGCAGAGGATTCAGAACAAAGTGGAGGGTCTGGTCAGTTTACGATTGGTATTTAAATTGATAACTAAGTGGTAAGTCATTAAGTCACCAACCCACGTGAATTCCTGAAATGTGCAATTGATTTAACAGCATCAAGTTCCAGCCCAGGACTCGTATGCGCCCACACAATATACAAAAATCATTCTTTGTGCAATACCATATAAAACACATGGACTCAACATCAAAGGGACGAACTGGATTGCTGCATGACTACATTATGTCAACCTCCACAAACGTAATGACTAAAACAGATTTGGTCTTTGACCCAAAGCGTTCACTCTGTATCAAACCACATCCTGGATTTTAGCGTGGTGATCAGCTCTGTGTAGGAGTGAATGGCTGCTCATAAGGTCAGGAAACCCGGAACATGTTTCCTGAACCGCCTACTGACTTAAAATGGGGTTGTCAGTGGAAGCCTTTCAGGTGCTTCACATGGCTGAAGACTACAAGTTAAGGTAGGTGCATTGGCAGAGCAAAAGAAATTGTAGAAGTGGGTGGGGCTTTACCAGGTACCTTATTGATGCTGGAAGAAATACTCCAATTCCTGACCCACCAACATCACATACCTAGAGACAATAAAAAACACTGTAGATGCAGGAATCCAAGGCAGACAAACAGGAGGCTGGAAGAACACAGCAAGCCAGGCAGCATTTGGAGGAAAGGAGCAGTCAACGTTTCGGGTATAACCCTTCTTCAGTCCTCATGGGCTCAGCACCCTTCGCCTTCTCTAGGTGCTGGGTTTCCCCAAGGCCTGAGAAACTCAGCTCTGCAGCTGTCAATGCGATGACTCTTATAAAAGAAGGCAAGCAACCTCATTACATACTTAAATGATCAACACAGCTACTGCAGTGGATTGATGGTCAATCCCTCATCCTGCCTCAAAGGCTAGAAGTGAGTGATAGATTTGGTTCCTGTGCAGATTAAGCTCCTTATTCAGCCCAAAGCATAGAAAAGGTTATCCAGGGCACCGGAACAAAAGGCCTCAAGTTTTCTCACAAACATGCCTCAAACTATGTGGAATGACTGATAAAGATCCCAATTGGTCCCATGGGCCACACAAGCCTTTTATTTAGGAGTCAAGGTCTGATTCCAAGATTAGACAATTTGATTCAAATTTTCCAAATGAGGCAACCTGCCAAGTTTTGTCTGCTTGCTAGCATGCAGGACATGAATGTAGGCACTGGAATCAGTAAGGTCATGATCCATTGCACAATTCTCTCAGCATGCAAGGCGCAGTACATGAAGTATTTCTTAAAGACCTCTGTGATACAAGACTGTACGGTGTACCAGGCCTGAGAGCAAAGAGAAGATCCAATTGAGGTGGACAGAGAATGAAGAGGGAGAATTTGTATGAGCGAGGGGAGGGGAGGGGGGGAGGGAGGACAAATCAAGGAATTAAACAGGAACCTATTGCCTTCAAAGGTTTCCGATACAAACTGACAGTTATCATTACTGCAAGGCACGGCAATGTTTATGTGGATCGCTCATGGAGAGTTACGGTTCCACCAGACCCAAAAAAAAGTATCTTAAATGGGCCATGGTATGTATTGCAAACAAAGTGTTAAAAATTTTGTAAGTATTAGTGGAATATCTAACCTCTAATTCCTTGAAAATATAAAAAGTCGCACCAATAGAATGATCATATGCTGAATGGCACACATTAGGAAGTGGTAGAGGAAGTGAATGCTGGCTTAAAAATAAGTTATAATTATTTTCAGCCATCTTAAATTCAAGAAATAAATGTAAAATAGGAATGGAAAGTAAATACAATTAAACCAAATTATATACTAGAGATAGTAGGAACTGCTGATGTGGGAGTCTGAGAATACAAGGTGTAGAGCTGGATGAATACAGCAGGCCAGGCAGCATCAGACGAGCAGGAAAGCTGACGTTTCAGGTCTGGACCCTTCTTCAGAAATGGGGGAGGGGAAATTATATACTAGATAGTTTTATATAGTTATCATATTTTACAAGTAAAACACAAAGCAGTTGAAACAAAATTTCATTAAAATTTCCACAAATATCGAGCATTTCCCAACAGATAATAAATCTATTTTGGATTTGAGTGTAGCTTCTGAGTAGGGGAAAGTAGTGTCCAGATTAATGAGTAACAGGTTATGAAATTGACATGGGCATAGAGTCGAAGTGAAAGGTGCTAACTTCAGCAGCATGGATTCCAGAATGTCTTCATTTACCCATGTCAAAGTTTCACCTCTTCAACAGTAGGCTAGAGTCAGAAAACAAGCTGGTTTGAGTTACTTTGTACTTCCCTCACAGAAAAGCATTGCGTCCCTTAACCTTATCTTCTACTCCATCAGTGTCTGTATTAAAATATCAGCTTCTGCCACCACCGACATAATCCCAGCACTAAACACACCATCTTATCCCTGGGCTCCAGAGACAAAGGAGCGATGGGAGACCACCCTTTGTAACAACTTGGTATTCTCATTACTTTTCCTCAGCCTAGCAGCTGCCTATGTGAGAACAGCAGATGCATCATCTTCTCATTGGAGTACCCCTACACCAACCTACAAGTGTCCCTTTCAAATGAAACAGCAACTTACATTTACTTCCGCCAACCTAGTACACCACATCAATGCTCATAATACGACTTCTACATGAGATACAGATGGTAGATTAAGGAACCAGTTTACTGAAGATCTTCATCTGCAAGTGAAACTGAGTTTTGTGTTGCTTGTTAATTCCATTCTCATCTTGCTGGTACATAGTAAAAGGCCAAAATAATGAATTGAATGCTAACAAGTGGCTGGCTATTTCAAGCAATTGCTAAGACTTTTAGCCATGAAGTCCCAGATAGTGTTGTATTAAAATCTAAGCTAAAAGCCATTAACTAATTAAGCTACAAAACACTGTTCTAAATGTTTTCTCTATTTACAGATCCCACTCAGGGGAGGCGATGGCCCAGTGGTATTATCACTGGACTGTTAATCCAGAGACCCAAATAACATTCTGGGGACCCAGGTTCGAATCCCACCACGGTAGAGAGTGGAATTTGAATCCAATAAATATCTGAAATTAAGAATCTAATGATGACCATGAATCCATTGTCGATAGTTGGAAAAACCCATCTGGTTCACTAATGCCCTTTAGGGAAGGAAACTGTCATCCTTACCTGGTCAGGCCTACATGTGATTCCAGACCCACAGCAATGTGAATGAATATATATATAAAAAAGTTCTCCCTCCCCCATCTGTGAAGAGGAAAAATCCTCAAAATACAAGAGGAGTAAGTTGATAAGTCATAAACTACAGGATCAGTAATCTGCTCATGGTAAAGAAGGAGAGATCACCACAAGAACATGAACGTGAGAATGATATATAGTTTCGGGACTTTGGAGGCAGCATGGGAATTCAGTGCTGAGAGAAAGAGGAGTTTTTTTTAAGCTTATAGCTCATGTTTTTTAAATAGAATAAATTGAAGGCCAGGATAAAGGCCCAACACAAAAACAGCAATATGACAGGAAAACCGCACATTTAATAGTTGACAATGGCTGCTAATTTTATTACAGGCTTTCAGATTAAAAGGTGAGGGGAAATATTTACAGGTTACAAACTCTAGGGTCAGTAGGGTATGAAAAACAAATGAAGAACTAAACAATTAAAATAAGAGATACCAGGCCAGGTTATATGTTGTACCTGCATGATGTGGGAGCTGGTGGAGCCCATTGTGGTTCATAGTGACCACGTCTGTAGCAAGCGTTGGTTGTTTGAGGAACTCCGGCTCAAAGTTGAGAAGCAAATCCGAGCTTTGAATACTATAACACATTAGGGAGGAGGAAAGTTCCTCGGAAGCTATGTTTCAGGTGGTAGTCACATCCCTTAGATTAACTACTTCAAAATGTGGTCAGTGCTCAAGGACAGGAAGGATTTGACTATGAACATAGCAGGTAGAGGGATCCAGGAGGTAGTGCTGAAGGAGCCTCAGCCCTTGAGCTTGTTTAACAGGTTTGAGAATCTTGCTCCCTAAGTGGATGAGAGCAGGGTGAAAGGAGGATTAACAAAGTGATCACAGCACCAAGGTATAGGAAGCCATTCGATAAGCAGGAGGAAAGAGAAATGTGGTTGTCATCAGGGACAGTAACAGGAGAATAGACACCATTTTCAGTGGACAGGTTCAAGAGTTGCGAAGGCTGTGTTACCTGGGCTGCAAAGGAACTTGGAGTGGGAGAGAGAAGATACAGCTGTTATGGTTCACGAAGGAACCAATGACATAGGTGGAAAGAGGATCCACTGAGAGAATGAGAAGCTAGGGGCTAAATTAAAAAGCAGAACTGAAAAAGGTAATAATCTGATTACTACCTGAGCAATGAGCTAATTGGCAGAGGGCGAAGAAAAATGATACAAAGGTAAAGGAGAAAGTAGGGCTGCAAGTTACCATTTACCATTTGTTTACAATTTACATAGATGATTGAGAGTAGGGGGACCAAGTGCAGTGCATGAAAGTTCCCAGCTGACACTAACGTACAGTGAAGTGTACAGAGGACACAAAGTTTACA